TGCATCCAAGCTATTTCTAAAGGGGCTAAGGTACAGCTCAGACCACTGCCTCAGAGGGTACAAGCCCCAAGCCTTGGTGGCTTACACATGGTGTTAGGCCTGTGCATACACAGGAGTCAAGAATTGAGGTTTGGGAATTCACAGGATGTATGGAAATGCCTGGACATCCAGGCAGAGGTATGCTACGGGGAAGAGCCCTTATGGAGAACCTCTGCTAGGGCATTGTGAAAGGGAAATGTGGGGTGGGAACCCACACACAGAATCCCCACTGGGTTACTGCCTAGTGGAGCTGTGAGAAGAAGGCCACTATCCTCCAGATCCCAGAATGGCAGATCTGCCAACAGTTTGCACCATGTGCCTGGAAAAGCTGCAGACACTCAATGCCAGCCAATGAAAGCAGCCAGGAGCGGGGCTGTACCCTGCAAAGCCACAGGGGTGGAGCTGCCCAAGGTTGTGGGAGCCCACTTCCTACATCAGCATGAACTGAATATGAGACATGGAGTCAAATAAGATCATTTTGGAGCTTTAAGATTATACTGCCCTGCTGGATTTCAGACTTGCATAGGGCCTGTAGCCCCTTTGTTTCAGCCAGTTTCTCTCATTTGGAATGGGTGTATTTACCCAATGCCTGTAACTCCACTGTATCTAGGAATTAACCAACTTGCTTTTGATTTTACAGGCTTATAGGCAGAAGGGACTTGCCTTATCTTAGATGAGACATTGGTCTGTGGACTTTTGAGTTAATGCTGAAATGAGTTAAGACTTTGGGGGACTGTTGGGAAGTTACAATTCATTTTGAAATATGAGAACCTGAGATTTGAGAGGGGCTGTGTCCCCACCCTAATCTCATCTTGAATTGTAGCTCCCATAATCCCCACATATCATGGGAAGCACCTGGAGAATCGAGACATGGGGTAGGCTTTTCCCGTGCTGTTCTTGTGATAGTGGGTGAGCCTTGTGAGATCTGGTGGTTTTATGACAGGCAGTTCCCCTGCACATGCCCTTTTGCAGCTGCCATGTAAGAGGTCCTTTCGCTCCTCCTTTATCTTCCACTATGATTGTGAGGCCTCCCCAACCATGTGGAACTATGGTACCTTAAACCTCTTTTTCTTTATAAATTACCCAGTTTTGGTTATGTCTTCATTAGGCATGTGAGAATAAACTAACACAGATATGTTGGTCATAAAAGACCTCCACATATATTTTAACCAAGGAATTTGTTGACAAATTATGTGTTACACTTTTTCAACACCTTTTCATTCATAGATAAGCTTTTAAGAGGTTCATATTTAAAAATGATATTGATGTCTTTGGATTTGGACAATGCCTAGACAGCCTTCCTGAACATGACTGCACACCAGAATGCCCTAGAGAATTCTGTTTTGTTTAAGACAGATGCCTGAGCAAGTCTTAAACAGAGAGTCTAATGCCTTAGGACTAAGCTAGGTCAGAGTATCACAGGGTGCACCTCAAAACTGGGTGGGAAGCCACATGGGTTCTTGGCTTCATGCAGGAAGGAATTCAAGAGCAAGCTGATAAAGTGGAAGAAGTTTATTTAGGTAAAGGAATAAAAGGTTGGCAACTCCATAGGCAGAACAGCTCCAAAAGCTCTTAGCTGGCTACTTTTGTGGTTATTTCTTGATCATATGCTAAGTACGGAGTGGATTATTCATTAGTTTTCTGGGAAAGTCATGGAGAATTCCCAGAACTGAGGGTTAGACCATATAGGGTAGCTTCCATACACTGCCAAGGCATTTGTAAACTGTCATGGTGCTGGTGGGAGTGCCTTTTAGCATGCTCATGTGTTATAATTAGTGTATTATGAGCAGTGAGGATGACCAGAGATCACCTTTGCCACCATCTTGGTTTTGGCTAGCTTCTTTACTGCATCTTATTCTATCAGTGGGGTCTTTGTGACCCATACCTTGCAAAACCACTCCTGCTGATTCCTAAATTTCTATCTCATCCATTCAAGATGACGTCACTCTGGTTTAAATGCCCCTGACAAGAGAATTTGCACTGTTCAAACCTCCCCAGGTGATTTTGAAGCATATCCATATTTATTAGCCACTAAGTTAAAATATATTATAGACTGCTTTCAATTAAAAAAAAATGTTTTGTAAGTCACTTCACACTTACTTTTACTTGAGAAGACTGAAAAGGTAAAGAAGTGGTGCTAAAATTTAAAAATAAAAAATCTCAACATCCTCTAGTAGGAATTTTAATAGCGCACCCTAGGTTTCATTTTCTCTCTCCTGGTATGTGAACAAACAAGCTTACATACTGCAATTTACTCTGTAATTAATTAGATATGACCATATTATAGTTTGGAGAAAATGTGTAGTTAGAAGCTAAGCTTAGGTAACTTATTTTTATGTTTACAAATTCACTTACACATTTTTCTTAAATTTTTCTCATATTCTTTCTCTGAGTATGTGGTAAAAATACTCCTTTCCCATTCTGTGTCGTGGTTCTTTATAAAACTTTCTCATCCTCTCCATCCCTGAGGGAACTCTGTCTCATTTATCTTTATGTTTTTTATATCTTACTACAGTGGCCTACCAAAGTAGGTAAATATCTGATAAATATATGAATACAAGATTTAAGTAAGAATTATCACATTAAACTAATTGTTTCCTCTCTGATCTCTGTTTTATTACATTTCAAAGTAGTTTCTGGGAAAAGTAGTGAACACAATGATGTATAGATTCAATAAACAAGAAAAATGGTACTCAGGGATTAAAAGAAAGCTAATAAAATGTCAAATCCACAGCAATTAATTTCTCCCAGTAAGTCCTCATAAATTCAGGCCTTGCCTCACTCAACTCTCATCCATCCTGGGTACGGCTCCTCTGGGCCTCATTCTCACCTGGGAAACAGTACTTGATGATCATTGGATGCATATCTGAAAGAGGTAGAAAGAGCCCAACACCTGGTTTATCTCTAGCTTTATGCTGCAGAGAGTATGTGATGGTGTGCCACAGTGCTCTGTATACTGTATATACTGTTGGGATCAGCCTTAAGTGCACTGGAATTTCTCTGGGTATAATTAAATTCTTCATTTACTGACCATCAGGCACTGGGATAGAATATGATATTAACCAAGAAACTATCCCTGGACATCAAGGAGTTCATGATCCACTTGGAAAACTTGCAGATTAGAAAATTTTTTTTTGTGTCAGGATTTCGCTATGTTGCCCAGGCTGGAGTGCAGTGGCTATTCAGAGGTGCGATCATAGTGCAGTGTAGCCTCAAACTCCTGGGCTCAGGTGATCCTCCTTCTACCTCCTGAGTGGCTGGGACTACAGGTACACACCACTGTGCATGGGCAGGATTTTTTTAGGATGCTATAAGACCTATAGTTATTTAATTATTATTATTATTAGGATAGTTGGTGAAAAGATTTTGACCAGTCTTCCATACACTGATGCACAGCAAGATAACTATAGTTAGTAACATTGTAATATAAACTAGAAATTTGTTAAGAGTAAATTTACGGTTCTTTTACCACAAGGGGAAAAAAAAGTTAACTATGTGAGTAGATGGATTATTAATTCACTCGACAGTAGTACGCATTTCACTATGCATATCAAAGTATCATGTTGGCCACTTTAAATTCACACAATTTTTATTTTAAAATAACTGAAAAAAATAAAATAGTAAAGTAAAAATAATGCATAGGTGAGGACAAAACCCACCTTCTTCCAATGAAGGGAGTAGTTTGACAGTTAATATTTGGAGGACAGAAGGATGGAGTTTTCAAAGCCTTCATGAATATTGCGGTAAGGAGCACTCCTAAATCAAAGAATCTCATTTTGATTTATAACAGCCCTCACTTTTCCACTCTCAGATTTTTACTGCCTTTCCCTAATGTACCATTAAAGCCCTTCAGCCTAAACTCATAGAATCCATTAAGGAAGAAGTTCTGAAGCAGGTTTTGGGAACACATTTTCAGCGGAGTCAAGTGGCTTTCATGATGCTAGAATAAAATTACCTACAGTTTGACAGACCAAGACTATCAGCTTACTCTTTATTTACCTGACAGACCAAGACTATCATCAGCTTACTCTTTATTTACAAACGCTAATGAGTAACAAGTCCTGTATCAATAAGCAGAACCAAGTGTGTGCCAAATGTTATGGTGAAAGAAGGACAGGTTTTGGGAACACGTTTTTATCCTAGTCAAGTGGCTTTCATGCTGCTAGAAGAAAGGTACCTTAATCTTTGACAGACTCAGATTGTCATCTTACTCTTTACTTAAAAATATTAATGAGTAACAAGTCCGGTATCAATAAACAGAACCAATTGTGTGATAAAGTGTGATAATCATTATGGTGGAAGAAGCATCCCGTGTGGTCTGGATACATGTGGGCAAGGGGATTTGACCCATAATTGAAAAATCAGGAAGGCTCCCTGCAGGACGTAGCATCTGTGCCGTGAGGTTGAGGGTGAATCTGTGTTGTCTGAGTGCAGTGATGAGAGGACTCTAATTCAGGCAAAGGAATAGCAGGAGATGAAGTGAGATGGGGTGGTTATATAACTACATTATCAATCATATTTTTCTCATTTATAGTCTTCAAGTTTATATTATCTGTGTAACTCTATAGTTACACAAGAAAACAATGCTTAATGCTACTAACACTACTTCATGGCAATGTAAAGGCTTTACATGATCCGATGGACCAATATCTACATGCTTAGATTCAATATTCTATAGGAATTTAAGAGTCTGAGGTTTTGAATGAGAGAGGCCCTGGTTCAGAGCCCAGTTCTTCCACTTACTAGCTCTGTGACCTTGGGTTCAGCTTCGGTTTTCTGATTTAGAAATTGAGTATTTCTGTCTCATAAAAATACTGTGAGAATTGAATGGGAAGATGAGTATTGAGGGGCTAGTGCATTGTTTCAACTCTAGTTAGCTTTCTTAAGTGCTTTTTTTTGCCCATACCCCTTAGTTCTGTTTATTATGAGCAACTTTGCTTTTTTTCTTTTTACTTCTCTAGGGATATGAAGCCTGACAATATTTTACTTGATGAACATGGTAAGTGAGTTATTTGTTTGCAATCAACAACATGACATGCTCGTAGAAAAGCTGATTCTTCCCAGCAGAGGAGTATTACACATGGAAAAGGTATTTTGCTATATTCAGTTGAGCTCTATGTATAAACTCCTCATAGACAATATGGGGGAACTTTATTACTTATGGCAGGGTATAGTACAACAATACCTTAAGTAATATTGAATTTACTGAGAAAGTCATATTCTACTCAATTTGCTTTCACTACCATATTTCTTCAAGAAAACATCACAATTTTTTAGTGTTAGCCTTAATATAATATACAATCACCTATGTTTTCCATGATACAGAGGCCGCAAGATGAGAGCATTTGACCAGCAATAGCATCTATCTAGACATTAGCAACATTATTTTGTTCTCATTGCATCTATTTCTATGCATTCCTTCTTATAAAAGGCAAACTGCTTTTACATTTGCAAATTGGATTTTACATTTACTAGATATCACAGAAGAATACTTATATCTTAGGGTCATTGTAAAGACTAACATATGTGAAAGTACTTGATGCAGTGACTGTCACAAATAAATCACTTAATAAAAGTCTAATGTTAGTACAATTTTTATGAGGTGGTCATGGCTTTCTTCCCTTGGAAAGAAAGCTGGAACTGCTTCATCTTCTTTTATGTGGCTTTGTCTATGCTGACACATAATACGTACCAATATATCTCAGAAGAGATATCAAGTTTTCTGTTAAAAAATTTCAGTTTGAGTCCAGGCCCCGTGGCTCACACCTATAATCCCAGCACTTTGGAAGGCCAAGGCAGGTGGATCACCTGAGGTCAGGAATTCAAGACCAGCCTGACCAACATGGTGAAACCCCATCTCTATTAAAAATACAAAAGTTAGCTGGGCATGGTGGCAGGTGCCTGTAATCCCAGCTATTTGGGAGGCTGAGGCAGGAGAATCGCTTGAACCCAGGAGGCAGAGGTTGCAGTGAGCAGAGATTGCACCATTGCACTCCAGCCTGGGCAACAAGAGTGAAACTTCATCTCAAAAAATATTCAGCTTGAAAAAAAAATCAGTTAGTCTAAAGAAAAGTATAAAAGGGGTAAAAGCGTGTTATCCAGATTTGTGATATAGGGATATGGCAATAATCAAGATGATGATAAGTGAATGCTGAATTTCAAGAATTACGGATTAACTGTCCTCTAGAATAAGCTTTTGCCCGTGGTGATTAAATGTGTATAATTTCTTCCTAATATTTATTTTCATGTAAATTTGGATTCATTGGAACATCAGGTAAGACCTGTAAGGCACACAGCCTGTATGATGAAAATGTTAACAGTGTCAATATGATCTTTGTTATGTCTTTAGAAGGCTGCTAAATTAGGAGAGTCCTAAATCTTAAAAGCTCCTTATTCAACTTTTACAAAAAGGATTTGCAAGTGGAACTGAAACTCCAAGTACCATCTATTGCTCATTATTTATTTACCTAGTTTTGAGCCTGATTTGCCTGATCCCACCTGTGCTCAGAGGGCTAAGAAACACTGGTATATAACCTCTAATTTCAAAGCTCAGTATCATTACTTATTTATGGACTGTCCAAAAAATTTTTTTCCACTTTCTTCCGATGCCTTATTTCTTCCTTACCGTTACTGCTTCTGACATTTGAAAACAGAGTCTCTGATTCTCAGAAATGTGAGCAATGGTGAGACTTAGCATGAAGGTGACTTTTAAATACCAGCTATCCAGAGCTGGGCAGTGGCAGGCACCTGTAGTACCAGCTACTTGGGAGGCTGAGGCAGGAGGATCCTATGAGCCCAGGAGTTTGAATCCAGCTTGGGCAGCATAGAGAGACCCTGTCTTTTGTAGGGGGAACGGACAATCACCACTAGCTTCTAGCATGTAGAGGCCATCTTTGTGCAGCTTAGGGAAAGTGCTCTCTCTGTCCACCACAGCTTCCTGGCAGCACATGGCCCACCAAGGAGAACCCAGGTTGGGGTTTTGTCCTCACTTGCACCCTCCATTGGGTGCCTTTGTGCATGATTTCTGCTGCTCCACCATTTATAGAGGCCCTGAATGGAGGCATATAGATGCTATCAATCCAACACTTTTCAAGTTTTACCCTCCATTCAGAGAACAGTGTTTTCATCCCAGGCCTCGTCCATGGCTTCATCTCATTTCTATCATGAAGGCATCCTGTTCTCCTTCAGTCCACTTCTTCCCCCTCCTCATTTTCTTGGCAACTTGGTGATTGCAGATGAGGAAAAAGGTGAAGAAATCAATTAATCTTCAAGTTTAACCACCCTTAGAGACTACCCTTGTGAAAGATTAATTGTGTAACAGTGTGGTTAAGAATGTGAATTCTGGAGTCAGATTGCCTTCATTCAAAACACACTTCACTCATTTACTAGCTCTGAGAGCTTTGGCAAGTTGCCTAAACTTTGTCTTAGTTTTTCAGGGATCAAGAGAATACTTACATCTTAGGGTCATTGTAAAGACTGACCTAATATGTGTAAAGTACTTGATGCAAAGAACTGTCACTCAATAAAAGCCTAATATTAGTTCAATTCTTATGAGGTAGTCATGGTTTTCTTTCCTTGGAAAGGAAGCTGGGACTGCTTCATCTTGTTTTATGTGGCTTTGTCTCTGCTGACACATAATCTCTACCAGATAGAATCTGTAAAAAGCTGTCTTTCCCAAATAATTATTTTGATTTCAGAAGTGATATAACAAGTATTCTGCTTGTTTACTTGTTAGATCTTGCGTTTAAACCATTTTGTTTACCCCTTTTTCCTCAGGTAACTACACTTTCCCGGGTACATTCTGCTGTCTTTCATGTGTGCAGGGGGTGAGGGCATAGTCATGGCATTTTATTCTTGGTGGAGCTGGGGCGCTGTACAAGCCATCATTCCAACGTGCCGGAAAGATAGTCTCAGTCTGCCCTTGTGTTCTGGTATCTTATTTATAATGCCTGATTTCATTCTCAAGTTTTTTTTCTTTTTTTAGTTTGGCCAGTGAATTAAGACGAGGCTTTTCTGTATTATATTTCTATACTGAACTCGATTTGACAATCAATTGCTTTGGGAAAGATTGTGTATGAATAGCACAGAAGTGAGCAAACAAAAAACACTGAGAGCCATTTTCTAAACATTGTCTTAGGGATCACTTTCTGGAGAAAATATTTTTTTTTGAAGCTATTTACTTTCTGTTTCTTCAGATTCTGAAAAAGTAGGACTCTCAAACAGTACTCAGGGAACATAACTATCCACTTTTCAATGAATAATTCCTGTTGTTCACCTCCCCCCAGCTCACTATGTAGAGCTGATCTTGTGAGAATCAGCTGGACCACAAATCAATGCCTGCCTTTCAGAGTGTCTACTGGTGTGATTTTCCCTGTGGAGCTCATGTTTGAAGACCTCACTTGTCTTCTCCATCTTCATTTATAATATTTCATCCCTGGTGGGCTTTCACATGGGCCTCTTGTGTGGAAATTTTAGCCACTGTGAAGGGTAACCCCCTATCTCTCTGGTGACTCCTATGCCCATCCCTGCAAGTGAGCTACGTATCACACCTTGTTGCTTACATAATGCAGCTGCATTCAGTAACAGGCAGAAACTTTGTTTTATTCTTGATTCATATCCTTTATATTTATCTGAAAAGACTGATTGTAAAATGGGAAATCCACTGTGAATAAATATTCCTTGTACATCAGAATTTGCCTTAAAAAATGTTTTTAACTTAGAGCACATCCGTACTGTTCTCCCAAATCTCCCATTTACTAGTTTAGTGCCAAGATAGCATTAGGTCTTGGGTAACACCTGACCAACTGTCCTAATGTATATATTCATTTCCTCCCAATTAAATACCCCATCCAATTCTATCAATTCCGTAGTGTCTAAAATTCTTGTATTTTTCTAACTCAGGAAATGCTACAATTACAGAAACAGTAACGTCTGCCTGACGTATCTGAGGAAATGACAATTACGTCATCATCTATCACTTAGGTTTTTTAATACCATCCAGTCACAAGGAATAGAGGCAAAAATTCAGTCTAGCAGGTGAGAAAGAACTGAGGCTACAATCTTACCAGTCTTCCCGTTGCAGTGTCTCAAAATGTGCCAAAATATCAAGTGGACAGTGCCCTTTTAAAACGACATACAATGTAGAATACTGTAACTTATCCCCAGATAATCACTCCCTAGGTACTACCTAGGGTTATGCATTTTTAGCAAGAATCTCAGAAAAATGTGGGGCAAATATTCTAAATACCTACAAGTAGGAGAGACTTAAAAGTTGGGAGCAAAGCCAGCTTTTACAGTGCCTTAGAGTACTATGCTGAAAACAGAGATCCTCAGGCTGTGAACGGGAGCAGTAAGAAAAAGTGTAAATGACAATAATGATGGCTGAATAGCATCATAAGATGAATTCAGATTTTTTATGTGATCCTCTGTCCCAAGCAACAGAGGTAAAAAGAAAAGGCAGAAACCCTCTCCTAGGATGGTAAATTAGGAAGTTCTGAGACTTGCACCTGAAAAATTCTTCTCTAAGGCAGTGATTCTCAAGTGGGTGTGATTTTGCTCTATTGCTTCTCCCTGCAGGGGACATTTGGTAATGTCTGCAGACATTTTTGATGATCAAGATTCCAGCCAGGGTTGGGAGGTGCTACCAGCAGCTAGTAGGTAGAGGCCGGGATGCTAACATACATTCTACAATGCACAGGACAGTTTTCACTGCAAAGAATTATCAGGTCCAAGTTTTCAATGGTGCTGAAGTTGTAAAACTCTGCTGTAAGGCTCACTCAAGACCTGGGCTTATGAAAGAAGCTGTAGAAGTCCTTCCTCCCCAGGCAATTCCTTTGTACTTCAATCAGCAGGAGACTGAAACCTCTCCTGTGATCCAGCACTCAAATTCATTTTCAAAACACAGAAGGCAACCTGGCAGATAGGTCACCATAGTAAGCAGAAGCAAGACATGGCTGCAGCTGAACCTGGAACTGAGGCTTAGGGCCAGCACTCTGTGAAGTTCTGCTGTCATCGTTTAGCTCAAAAGCACCAGGCTAGAAGATCCAGTAGAACACTACCCTCAAGTAATTTCTCCCTCTTCTTTACTAGGCATCCTGGCAGTGGAAAAGAACTCTCAGCTAATCAAAAAATAATAGTTTTAGGTCATTCAGTTCTTTGGTCTTGTGATACAGCACACAAAGTTTTTGGGAGATTCATAACTTAACAAAGGGATCCTAGACAAAATTCTAGGTCTTAACTCCAGCTCTGTAACTTTTGAGTCTTTTGAACTTCCAAAGTGACTCCATAAATGACTCATATATAAAATAGGGCCTACCTTACTGGGCTAAAGAAGAAACTTTGTGCAACAAAATTTTGAAAACTGAATTAATCACACAAGTGTAAACAACACTGAAAAGGTAAATATTCAACATTCTTTCAACTGACATGTAATGAGTACTTACCAGAGTTGAGACATTCTGCTAAGCCAGGCCCTCTTTTAAACTGTAATCTCAAACTTTATTGGGCCTCATAATCACCTGTAGGGCTTATTTAAACACTGGGGCCCAACCCCCAGAGTTTCTGATTTAGTATAATAGAGCTGAGTGGCGGGGAGGGGTTGGGGGGAAGAATTTGCCTATCTAACAAGTTCCCAGGTGATGCTGATACTGCTGGTCTGGGGACTACATTGTAGGAATCAGTTGGCTCTAAAGCCTTCTCTACCTTCCATTTCTTCTACTTCTACATGAGCATAGATAATCTTGTAGCTGAGTCAGCATGAAAAATCTCTGCAGAGTGAAGTGACTGTTGCATGTCTGGCTGCTCATCTGAATCACCTGTGGAATTGGTTGTTTTTAATACATATGCCTGGCTCTCCTACAAGTCCCACTGGGGTTCCAGGAGACTGAAGCCCAGGCACATGTATTTTGCAAAACTACACTGAAGTTTCTGATCATGACAGATATCAACAATTAAACACTTCTTGACAAACGCTGTGCTAAGTCTCCTGTAATCATTATTTCATTTAACCTTTCCAATAACCTCTTGAGAAGACTGATTACCTTTCCAACTTTACAGAGTGCAATAAGTGACTTTCTCAAGGTAACATAGCTAGTTAGTGGTAGAACCTAGACTTGAAGCCAGGCAGTCTGACTCCAAGAAACAGGCTCTTCACCAGTCTCCAGACTCACCGGATTTGTATTAAATTTTGTGAATCACTGGTCCAACAGTATGAGCAGAACCCATGGGGAGAAAAGAAAAAGAAAAAACAGAGACAACCTATGCTATGATAGGGTAAGTTACTGAAATCAGGCATTGGTGCCACTCTGGTAAGAATACCTTTTAACTAGGTGAGTGCTCCCTTTACTTTACTGAAATATCATCACATGAATAAAACCAAACACTGTCTGCACAGAGTAAAACCAAACACTGTCTGCACAGAATAAAACCCTGGTGATAAAGGCAGTGGGATTTATCTTTAGCAGCAGGCTGGATACTATCAGGGAACAGACAATTAAGTTTGATATGGGGAATGTGGACTGTGGGCTGATGACATGCTCTCCAATTACAGCTGTATCTCATCAAAACCACAGACACATGTAAATGGAAATGCCAACACTTCAAGATTCTCTGAAAGCAGATGATTGTCGTGCCAACAGCTAACATAATAAGCCTGTCTGCTGGAGCTTCTGACACTGCCCTTTTGTTCCCTCTGGCTGTAAATGCAGGGACCCTAGAACACCTCATAGAGAGTGTTCCCTGCCAAATATAAATGTTAGACCCACTCTCTATTGCTTTGAGTGTTAAAGCTGAGAGAGCCCCTAGAGATCATTTAGTCTACCCATTCTCTTTTTATGTAAAGGATAATTTAGATCCACCTTGGAAAAGAACTTAAAGTCTACTATGTGTTAGGGGCAGAGTTCAAGGCAGAACCCAGGCCTCCTGGCTCCCCATCTAATGCTCTTTAGAGAGTCCCTTTAAAAATGAAGTTGACTGGCTGGGCGTGGTAGCTCACACCTGTAATCCCAGCACTTTGGAAGGCTGAGGTCTTCCAAAGTGATCACGAGGTCAGAAGATTGAGATTATCCTGGCTAATATGGTGAAACCCCATCTCTACTAAAAATACAAAAATTAGCCAGGCATGATGGTGTGCACCTGTAATCCCAGCTACTCAGGAGGCTGAGTCAGAAGAATTGCTTGAACCTGGGAAGTGGAGGTTGCAGTGAGTTGAGATTGCACCTTTGCACTCTAGCCTGGCAATAGAGCAAGACTCTCTCAAAATATAAAATAAAATAAAAAATAAAGTTTATTTCCCTCCCCTCACCTCCGCTGTCTTTCAATAAGTTACTTCACTGGGGACTGATGAGGCCAACCTAAACTATCAGACAAAAAATATATCCAAAAATATTTTAGAAAAACTTGGAGAAAAGGGAGGCTTTCTTGGCTAGAAAATAAATATTCGGATCCACATTCATGCCAGCTTTGTATTAATAATATTTGCCTTTTTTTTTATATTGGAGTCTCATTCTGTTGCCCAGGCTGGAGTGCAGTGGCATGATCTTGGCTCACTGCAACCTCTGCCTCCCAGGTTCAAGTGATTCTCCTGCCTCAGCCTCCCAAGTAGCTGGAATAACGAGCAACCACACCACACTCGGCTAATTTTTTATTGTTATTATTTTTAGTAGAGACAGGGTTTCACCATTTTGGCCAGGCTGGTCCCAAACTCCTTACCTCAAGTGATCCTCCCGCCTCGGCCTCCCAGAGTGCTAGGATTACAGGTGTGAGCCACCACACCTAGCCTATTTGCCTCTTTAAAAAAAAATAATCCCATAAGAGATGTTTGGAAATGTGATACTTTGAGTATCCATTGGCTATCTCCTTCATGGTATTCATAGGCTAAACTAACTTGAAATGTTACCAAAGACAAAAATTGCCTAACTAGAATAACCTGACCACCAATTCTTAACTACTAAGGGTAAAACTTTCTGAGGCTGAACTACAGGTTTACAGTCAGAGACTGATCATTGCATATTAGGTAATGGAGGATTGCTGACTTAAGACCATATTGACCTTGAGGATGGAACCACTGAACTTTTATTGCCTGTACCCAACTGCAACTAACCTACAGGAATTAACAAACTATTTGGGTGCTTTCAAGTAGAAGCATGGTTATGCCACTGGGTTGAATGGGACTTAACTTTCTGGTGTTTCTTCTCTCTCTGTAGGGCATGTGCACATCACAGATTTCAACATTGCTGCCACGTTGCCCAGGGAGATGCAGATTACCACCATGGCTGGCACCAAGCCTTACATGGGTATGAGTTTCATGAGTGGCTTTTGTTTTTTCTGTAAATACCATTTATTACAGGTGGAATCATCTGTGGAGACCTGCAGCTGGAATTGATTAGTTCCTCTCTGACTTTGCCTATGGAGCTTCTGATTTCATGGGTCTTCTCCAATAGCAAGCACCCAAAATGATTTTAATAAAAGAAGACCATTGATTACATTTTGAAAACTTATATCATGACCATTTATACCCACTTCCTAACAAAAATATTAATTAATTCAACAAATACCTACTGTCTCTGTGTGCTTAGCACTGTTTCAGATGCTGGTGACTCTGTAGGAAACAACACAGCTAAGGTCTTCAGATCCTGGAGCTTACATTCTAGTGGAAGCAGATTTTTTTTTAAAAAGAACCAAACAAAGAAGTAGGAAACAGTAATAAGTAGAATGGTAGTAAGTGACAAAGTGTTATTTTAACCATTATTTACATAATACTACATTACATGAATAGAGCTATAAATTTTACAAAATGCATTCCCAGCTATAATTTTAGGTTTAGTTGTAGTGCCATAACAATTCCATGAGTCCTTCTTTTTAAAGATTAAGAAATTATGGAGCTGGGCATGGTGGCATCCATCTGTGGTCCCAGCTGCTTTGGAAGCCAAGGCAGGAGGATTGCATGAGTCCAGGAGTTGGAGGCTGCAGTGAGCTATGATCATGCCACTGTACTCCAGCCTGGGTGACAGTGAGACTCTCTTTAAAATTAAATAAATTATTTTAAAAAATGAAGATGAGGAAATTCTGCCTTAGAAAGTTTAAATGTGTTTGCATTATCTTGTTTGTAGTGAGGTGAGAAACTTATTTTTGCCTTGAATATTCAGCATTTACTAAGGGGTGACCAAAAAGATAGGGTTAGATGCAAAATTGTCAGTTGGTTTCATGTTTAGTTGTGGTAACAAATCAACTACAAACTCTAAGTTCACCTGTTGGGAGCAGCCATCTCTATATAGACACCAGAACTAGTTTTTAGCAGAACTAGTTTTACCTCCCATCCAGCCCCAAAAATATAAGACAGAGCTAGTGGCCTTTAGGGGGCACAGTAGTCAGAAAGAGGGAGTTCTCCCTCCCTTCTCCCTGTGGTTGTTCCTAAGGCAAGCGAGTCAGATCTTAAGAGAATTGTCTGTAAATTCTTAGAGTGACTGCAAGAAGAGGTGCCTGGAATTTCATTTTTGGTTAGATATCTGCATAGTTACTGGACTTGCTGACTGGTCCTGGAATTAACACAGCCTGGTTGGCCATGGAAGGTTGATGAGTTTGGGGGCTAGTCTTGCTGGGGATCATAGCAACAGGAGACAGGTATGCAGTGAATGTGACTGTGCTGGGGAGAGGGAGGTGGATTAGCTACAGACTGTGATCCAGTTTCACAAGGGCCTCTCCAGTGCTCAAGAGTATAGCCTGGAAGGGAGGGAGGCTCCTGTCAGTGTGACTTCCTGAAAGTACCGCAGGTCCCAATAGAGCTCAACATACTAGAATCACTGAGAGTGGAGTCTAGGGATAGGGTGGTTTAAAGCTCTTAGGGTAGTTCTACCATGTAGCTAGGATTCACAACTTCCTCCACAGACCCCTAAAGAGAAATTACTCTGCAGCAGGGGTAACACGTGTGTTGGGACCCATCTGCCTCTATTACCCTTCTTCCATGTCCTAAAACAAGTGCTTTCTAGAAAAAGGTAGAATGACCTGTGTGAAAGCCAGATAAGTCCTCCACCTCCATACTACAGTGGCTGCAGCCAGCCCAGCAGGGTGGGTGAAGCAGCTTTGAATCAGATATGAGAATAGTTCCTTTGTGAGTGCAATGGCATGATCTCGGCTCACTGCAACCTCCGCCTCCCGGATTCAAGTGATTCTCCTGCCTCAGCCTCCAGAGTAGCTGGGATTACAGGCGCCCGCCACCATGCCTAGCTAATTTTTGTATTTTTAGTAAAGAAGGGGTTTCACCAGGTTGACCAGACTGTCTTGAACTCCTGACCTCAGGAGACACTCCTGCCTCGGCCTTCCAAAGTGGTGAATTATTTTAAAATTCACAGAACTGAATCGTAAAGCATCTAAAGTAAATGTAATAAGCAAATAGGACTAAAACCTATTAGACAATAGACCGAGCTGTCTTTAGGCTAGCTCCCTGTCCAGCAAAAGCAGGAAGTTAGACACTGCACAGTTGCTGGCAGATGATACAAGACTAAAAACTGCTTATGCTTTACCCTAATTAAGATGCTTAAAGTAGGTGATGTCGCTGTTTAAACTGTTGGGATTAAGTCAGGGGTGGAATGAATTGTATCCGGTAGATATGGTCACAATAATTCAGAAGCAAAATATTTCAACTTGAAATCAAGAACAAGAGCAAGGCCATTTTCTTTTAATATTTCATTCTCTTCCCCTATGTAACTAAGAGAGAGGAAAAGAGAACCCCCTACATGCAGAGCCACCTTGCTTTTCAACAGAAATCTATAAGAAAAAAAAAATGAGCCTTACTTTCTATGATATTTGAACAACTGCAAATTTCATGACTTCCAATTACCAGTGGGGGGAATAAATCTCTTTTGTCACCTCTAAAATAATGGACACATATAACTCAGCCTATTTTCTGCCTAAAACCTGTGGTACTCAAATGATAAAAAGGCATATCCACGCCTGCTGCTCTGATGAGTTTATTCCCCAGGTTTCCTGGGTTTCCATATTAAGGGCTATTTTCTTGGAGCCAACTCAGAAAATGTGCATCTGGATTTCTAGGGTTGGTTTCCATGGTGAGAGAAATAAGGAGAGGTCACTATTCTTTCCTCTCCCCAGTGGTTTTAAGCACAATATCTGTATAATGTAGTTTTTTCAAAGTTGGCATATCTAGTCTTCTCACGAGATAAAGCTGAAAAATTGGAATCTAAGAAAGATGCTGTGCACCTTCCACTTTCACCCTTGTAATTAGCAATGACTAATATTTCTTGAAATCTTTCCATGGACCAGACAAGGTGTTAAATGTTTTACATTCATTTACTCATTTCTTTTTCTCAGCAGCCTTATGAGGCAGACTATACTTATCACTATTTTATAATGAGAAAAATCAGAAGCTAAATGATTTGGTCAAGATCACATGGCTAATAATGGAAAAGTCTAGGTTTAAATCAAGCTCTGATTTCAGAAATCAAGCTTTTTCTTAAAAGAAAGATAAAGCGAGAAACAAAAATACATATTTGTAAATATTTTTATCTGTTTTTAAATGGTTCTAAGTCAATTTAGTTAGGTTAATATATTGGACATGTTTCTTGTCTTATTCAAAAATGATTATGTGATTGCCACAGTTCTCCTTTTGGATAAGAGTCTTTCCAAGGGGTATTGTGGGTAGATCCTTGCTGTCTCTTTTTCAAATTTATGCTCCCAGTGATTTGGTAAAATCTACCAAACAGATATTCATCAGCAACCATTTTATAGTGATTCCATGGGATACTAATTAGCAATTCACCAGAAAGAACAAAAAAATTCTAAAAAGAAAGAAAACTATATAAAATACTGATTGAACTTTAGAGAAATATACATTTACTGATACAAGATGTTGAGCATTTTTTAAAGCAGTTTCATAGCTCTGAAAATAAGAATACACGTTGTCATGCCTGTAATCCCAGCACTTTGGGAGGCCAAGGTGGGTGGATCATGAGGTCAAGAGATCGAGACCATCTTGGTCAACATGGTGAAACCCCATCTCTATTAAAAATACAGGAAAAAATTAGCTGGGCATGGTGGCACACGCCTGTAGTCCCAGCTACTCAGGAGGCTGAGGCAAGAGAATTGCTTGAACCCAAGAGGTGGAGGTTGCAGTGAGCCAAGATCGCGCCATTGCACTCCAGCCTCGGCAACAAGAGCGAAACTCCTTCTCAAAAAAAAAAAAAAAAAAGAAGACAGTCTGCCAGTTCTTCACCACCTTCCATTCAGCAAGGAAGTTTTGCTTTTCACAATTTATTGTCTTCTACCTCCATGCTCCCTCTGGCCTCTCCATTATTCCGTCTCTCTTTTCTTTGTCTGTGTAATCCAGATTACTAAGAGTTAACCAATTAAAACATTCTCCCCCAAATTATATATATATAATATATATAATAAGTTCACTATGGACTAGTAAGCAAAAGGAAAGAAAATATGCTTTGTCAATAGATATTTATGGTTTATTTCCAGACCTCTTTTCCTAAGCACAAACACATACTACTTACATTTTTTAAATATTTGATCATGCTAAATGTAACCTAAATTTTCATTTTATAATGTAATAATGATAGACATCATATAGTGAACACTTATTGTCCTAAGCACTTTGCTAAGTTTTAAACATTTATTATTAAACTGTCAACACCATAAAATGGATTTTACTATTGTGTTGATTTTATAAGTTTAAAAAAATTAGGCCCAGAGAGAAAGAAAGTGACATGATCATGATCACACAGCAAGTGATTGGCAATTCATGAAATTGAATCCAAGTCTAGAAACATGCAATGCCCGAGACATGGATGCTGATGTGACGCTGATGTGACAATGATGAAGGTAGAATGGCTGACGTTACTGAGCTGTTAGACATTACTGTTCTAACTACATGCATTATGTCATTTAAACTAAAAACAATTCTGTGAGACAAGTACTATCCTTACAATGTTATTATAGTATATTAACATATAATTATTGTAGTATTTTGTATATACAGTACTATTGTTATAGTATATATTGTTCTCACTTCCGAAATTAGCAGGCCAAGGGGTTAAGAACTTGTGGAATGTGAAGCTGGAGACAGTCACAGGGGTCTGATGTTCCAGAGCCCTAACTCCTAACATGCTGCTCTACTGTCTCTTTGTTCATGTCAATAAGCATGCCCCTGCTAAAATTGAAACCCTCTTCTCTCTGACCCCAGAGCCTGGATCTTGACAACTGACACTCTGCTTATTTTGCCACATCAGTAGATATAACTATTGCTTTTAATGGTCATGAGCTATAGAATTAGAGA